TCCTGGATGTTGATATCATCAGAAACGCCGATGGATCGTGCAGCGGAGCGGTGTATAGAAAACCAACTTGGACTGGACAGTACATCAACTTCTATAGTGCGGTACCCATACAGTACAAACGAAATGTAGTCCGCACTCTTGCGTTCCGGGCACACAGAATTTGCACACCGGACACAATCACCAAAGAATTGCAGAGGATCGGCGACAAACTAAGTGTGAATGCGTATCCAGATAAATTCATCCTCAAACATTTGAAAGAACGCAAGATAAAACCACCGAGGATGAACGTACACAAGAAAGAACTAATTGTGCATCTTCCTTTCAAAGGCGACAGTGCGGCTGATGCCCTGTCCAAACGCCTGAAAGACGCTGTTGAAAAGACCTATTTCGCGGCTCGCATACGCAGTGTTTTACAACAAGCCTTTATTCGCAAAACCTTTGAAAAACAGGCTGCCTCCGGTGACTCGATCAATGCTTGTTTATCTTTACTCGTGCTCCTGTGGTGCATGATACGTGGGTCGTACCACGAGGCGCCTATCTCATAGGATTCGCGAACACATCCCAGTGGCTTTACAAAGGCGAAGCGAGGTCCAGTAACAGTTCCATCTTGTCTCACCTTCTAGAATGCAGAGAGGGAAAATGATTTTAGAGTCATCTATACTGTTCCTGAATGTTTCTCGCGCGGATTTTGGAAGCATCTCCTGTCTATTGCGGAAGCTATCTACATCCGCCACCACAAGCCAGAATGGTGCGTACTAAAACAGTTTGTACGTCCTTTACTTCTACCGTGGCCTACAACTTCGACTGTGATTTCCCCTGTACATAGTTGTCACTTTCAATGACCCCGTGATTTATTGATTTGTTCCTGTTGAAATTAAACATTTTGTTCAATACGTAGCCCAATCCGGCATATTTAGCACTTGCTCGTCATTAGGTAGTTTGAGTCTGGTGAGAATTACGGACAAGAATTCTTTACTCAGCTTCTGCCTCCCTTGATTCACTCTAATAAATGGGAATTTTTGGATTGCTGAGGATCAGCATTCCCCGTGATTCAGTCAAGCTTTTGGATGCGTAATTGCCATCAGTACGATTACTATGTAGAATGATAGCTAAACAAGTGGTAAAGTAAGATCGTATGTACTTAGGTATTGCCCTCTAGGTATACAGTCTGGTTTGCGTAACTGATGGGAGAACTCGCACGACGTCCGAATGCGATGGGGTGTTCACTTTAGTCTCTCCATATTGCTGACCGGTCCGAACATCTGCTGCCCTAGGTACGATTTGGGCGCAAGATGAAGCATTGACAAGTGTCAATACCACATATTCGCCGTTTACGGTCTCGTTGGGGCGACAACTACCGCCATGCTACATCAACTAAGTCCCGCAGCTCACTGTCAAACATGCGGCTTTCTAAACAGTATTCGCACTGTTTTGTAAATGATCAAGACGTAGCAGCGCTGTCACCTAAGTACTCAACCGTTTGTACATACCGCTATGTACTATGTTGTATCCATAAGCTATTTGGTAACGATCTGCATCATGTTTCTCGTGTGTAGCCATTCGGTGATCCTAAAACGATCGTCGCTATGCGTCAATTCCTTTCCGATGTAATATACGAAGACACTGACATACCACTCCCGTTAGACTTAACCAGTTTCTTAGTCTATCCAGAGGATTGGCCATGTCCAATTCAACTTGTGGTAGGCGTCTCTGCTCTTCCGTCTTCAATCTACATTTTCATAAAACTCGGTAAATTCAGTACGGCTGATGAACAACGGGAAATGTTGCTATACTCACTCTCATCGCTAACCTGCGGAGCGGAACATGAACTGTCGATATCATGATAATCGCTAGTCGGTTAATTGTCGGGATTGTTCACTTGCTACAGAATTTCCAGGGTAATCTCTCTTCGGATGCATAGTCCAACATGGTCACACGAGGGACAATCGTTGAGCATTGTGTTCAAATGTCAAACTTTACACTCCATGCGTACTGAAAGCGGCCAAGCGTTGGTCACCTTTTGATTCACGCGTATCCACCGAACTGGAAACATTCTCAATAATTTGCCACCCTAGCATTGATCCGTGTCAAGCTCACAATTCGCTTGAAAACACCGTGCGAACGTCAAGTACAAATGAGCTCATGGATGGACTGAGCCTTTATTCTGTGGTGCATCGGCTCTCTAAGCGTCGTGCCAGTTAGCATAGGACAGCTGGTCAAACTAGGGTCATGTAATCTACAAACCGCTTCTTGTGCTATTCCTTAACGCTACCTCACATGCGGTTTTACTCCCTTTAAACTTAATTCATACCAACTGCCTTTTGTTTCAAACCGAGAGCAAAATTATTTACTGGTGTGACGTCAAGAACTATTTTCGTAATTTTCCCCACAAATTGATTAATTCATAATATTGTTCTGCGATCCATTTCGCTACATTTGTTCTCCAGTGCTAATCATTTCCCCTTCTTTTCTGAAGTTAACAGTTCAGAAACATACTTGAATTCAGTGATGGCAATAACTGATTCCCTATGCGACTTTTGCCTATGGACAACTTGCACAGTCATCTGTCTATGGCTGCCGTGGGATTGAAGATGAAATCACGAATCGTATAGTAAAAGCTCAGGGCGCTTTTGCTAACCTTCGCCACTTGTGGCGCCGGCGCGACATCACTCTTGCCTTGAAGGGTAGAGTGTACAATGCAGCAGTACGTTCGACCCTACTGTACTGTTGTGAAACCTGCCCGCTTAAAGCAGCGGACCTGAAGAAGCTAGTTACGTTCGACCACCGGTGCCGTCGTAATTTAGCTCACGTCTGGTGGGAACACCACGTGAGCAACGAGCGTGTTCGACGCCTTGTTTATGGCACAGGAAAAGAAAATGAACCGCTCAGCACCGTCATTTCACGCACCAGGCTCCGATGGCTCGGCCACGTGTTACGCATGCCAACCCACCGACTCCCGCGACATGCGTTGTTTGCGCGCCGGGGGTGTGGATGGAAGAAGAGGAGGGGTGGCCAAGCGATGACTTGGTCCAGAGGAATGAAGGCCCTCACTTCGGAGCTGGCCTCGGTTGGAGCATCTCGGCTCCCTGGTTGGGGTCCGAAAGACGATGAACATGTTTGGTTGGACACACTTGCTGATATGGCTAGAAGCCGACCTCAGTGGCGTTCGTGCTGTGAGTTTCTTTGTTCCACCCCATCCCTCTTAGCCTCCCCCTCCAACCACGATCTCATTATTTAGCCTTATATAATTTCGCATAGTAATTTTTTTGATGCACAGTAGCCGGCTGATAGCTTACCGGAACGATGCCCATCCGTTACCGGTAGTTCAGCCAGCTTGCGCCAGTTGCATTTTTTCTCCTTTTTTCTATGTATTGCGGCACAGTAGCTGAGGTGTTCCCCACCTCTAACTAACGTGTATGATGATGATAATGAGACGGTTGAGGATGTGGTCACTTTCCTCTCCAGCCAAGTGACATGAATAAGAGTAAGTACAGAAGCTTCCGAGTAAGTGAATCACTGTGAAAGCACAATCTCACTCACGTTTGCATATTCAAAAGGTCAGGATAAAAGCGGATATGTAGTCTTACGAAAACAAGGTTGTGCAGTGTCTGATGGAGTAGCTCATCGGTTGCCTTCCGTTTTCTATCCAGGGCCTCCGACATCACTGTCGTTTGGAGTTGTGGTCACATGATTTGATGCACTGTCACAATGTTTCGGCAGAAGTTCACAACAATTAATCGCGTCAGTTGTATCAACCCCGTTCAAAATGGTAGCAGTCACCAGCCTACAGATAACAGCCAACAATTCGTATCCTCGCGTCGACTAAAGGATTGTGGACAGAGAAAGTAGGAACTGAGGCACCGGTGGTAAATCTGGTGAGGTTTGATAGCTATCTGTGCAAAAAACGGTTTCTATTTTCTTCAGCGTAGTGGAGCAAGCGCATCTGATTTCGGTCACTATGGAGTGAAAACCATCTGCCAACTGTTCAATCCAGCGATTTGGATGTTATCAAAGTAGCTAGAGGGCAATCAGTTATGGAGTGAAAATCAGTTCCGTGTAAACTACATGTCCATAAACGCCCGGTCTACACAATTTATGGTATGATATAACCTGCTGAACTGGTCAGTATGGAGTAGGAAGAGATAAAAACACTCAAGCCAAATAGGGAGTCAACGTGGGGGAACGTTGCAGATTTATCACAGACCGTCCTGATGAAACCCAATGACGCCATCTGATAGATTGCTGAAGCCATTCAATAAGTTTGCCTATCCCTCCCAAGATACAGGTTTAAAAAAGCCGGTGAAGTAACCTTGGAGGATCAGCAACATTTGATAGCAATCAGATGTTTCAAGTACCGATGACCCAGCGAGGAGGTCAAGGAAGAGCAGACGAAAATCCAATGGCCCAATGTGTGCGATGAAGAAAAGATAAGGAAATCGTAGAGGTGAGGGATGCTGAGACTGGTGCAACCAAAGCAAACTGAACAGTACATTTGGAAAATATCTGCAGAATACCAAGAACAACGATAGTAGCAGATCAGTATTTTTCATGGACCATTCGTTGCTACGTAACTCCAAATAGACCGGCTAATGATGACAAATAACATGAGGGGAGAGGAGGTTCAAAACAAAAATAAACTGCCCCAAACAAACACTCAGGATCAAAGTGCGATCACAAGTACCTGACTATCGTGCGGAGTTACCCGAGTATCGATTTCTGCCGTGGTTCTGATGGCACATTGTCTGCAGTCAGACAGTGAGTATATGTATATGTATATCGATTACGTAACCTCTCTCGGCAAGCAATCCAACTAGAGGACGACTGCAAACGCATCACCGATACACATGGGCAGTTACGCTCCGGAGTCAAGCATACTGTGGGCCGCGTGGGCGGAGGACCAGAAGAATACGAAGTCAAACTGCACTAAGAGACATCGATCTGGAGGACCCAAATTAGCGGGATATGGGGATGAAAGTCAAATCAAAAGACCGAAAAGACGGTTGCTGTTGAGCAAATCTCTTTATGAATGTGGAGACCAAATCAGAGGAAAACGTTGATACAAACAGACAACAAATGTTATGCAATGTGAAAAATGGAGAAGTGTGAGAGAAAATGCTTAACAGAGGCTGAAAATGACTGCAATACAGATTCGTTTGGGCATCATCAAGTGGAACTTTCAGATACCTGAAAATTGGAAAATCGGATTTACAGTTAGAAGCTTGCATATAATAAGAGTGGAAGGCGACACACGCATACGCACAGTACGCGCAGGTCAGGGCTGTGGCAAGACCGTACACACATTCTTTTTTGCCATTGTTTTTTTCTTTTTTTTCTTCTGTGCCACATCAATAAGGAGCAAAGTAATAACTACCACGCCGCCTAAAAGTATGGAAGAAAAAGCTTCGGGTAAAACATGCATCGCTGACAACAGGAACAGCAAGTTAAAAAACGACAAGACACACACAGATCACTCACCGCATTCGAGGGAAACGCATTCGGCCGCCACCGAAGTAAACGGGGCGGTAATACATACCGCCCATTGCACGTCCTCGACCTCGGCCACGCATATACGGGGGTCGATGGGTCATCGATAGCCCGGGAACATTGGTGCGTTTGGGTAGGACCTTCAGCTGTCTATTGCGAAAGCTCGAGTCGTCCAAAGCCATTGCTGCCTCCACTGCATCCCGAGTGTCAAACTCGATGTAAGCGAAGCCTTTCGGGTGCCCAGTGTATTTGTTGCACAAAATGGTGACGCGATTGATGGGACCACAACCCCGGAAGTGGGCCTCTAACTCGTCCGCAGTAGCGCCGTAGTCAACCTTTGGAAGGCACAAAGTGTATAAGCGCGTGTGGATGGACTTACATTACCAACATAAATTGAGCGTAGGTCAGTCTCCACTTTGTCCTCGTCTGATAAGACGGAAGAGTTGGCTCCTGCGAAGAATGAATAATAAATTAAAAGATTGGAAGCAAATACGTAGAATAGACGTGCAGCCACCCCCGAAACTATGTGAATCAAGCGGAACTAGTAAATACGATGGTCACAAAAAAGGAACAGTGGATTTCTACACTGGTATTAATCGTACCATTTTAGAAGCTTGACCATTAAGACTAGAACACCCGAAGTGGCCATTTTGACCGCTCAGTGTTGTTAAAGGTGGATTTTTTCTACATTTGTAAACGTATATCAATGATGCTTCGTGACTTTTATTATTCTTAAACATCCTTCATAACTGCGAAGTTTCACTTTCATATCTGTTATAGTTTTCGAGAAAAGAAGTAGTTGTGTTCGTACTACCGAGAGAGCTTGTTAGCGGTCAAAATGTGACCGCTTTCCTCTAATCCAGTTTCTTTTCCGTTTGCAGCCGCCACTAATATTTCTGACAAAGTTACATGCAATATCAGTCAAAACAGGAGTGAAAACTAGACGATTCACGATTTCCCAGTGATATTGTTTGTTCCGCCTAAGAAATTTCAATGTCACTGATACACAATGGATCGTTGGAGGAAAACAGCTTTTGAGGTTTTACGAGCTATCGATTATAACAAGCCTGGAGATGAGGAGGAATATGAAGTGAACGAAAACTTCATTTTCCAGGAGTCGGCAGAAGATCACAGCATCTCTGATAGTAAAAGTTCTGATAAGGGCACTCCTCGTGAGAACAGCAATGAGAGTGTATCAGCCGATTCTGCATCTTCCAATGAAGTTCACATATCATCAACATCATACACGTTAGCTAGAGGTGGGGAACACCTTAGCTACTGTGCCGCAATACACAGAAAAAAGGAGAAAAAACAACCGTTGCAAACCGGTGGAGCTACCGGTAAGATACCTGCCGGCGACTGTGCATAAAAAGAATAACTACGCAAAATTATATAAGGCTAAATAATGAGATCGTGGTTGGAGGGGGAGGCTAAGAGGGATGGGGTGGGACAAAGAAACTCACAGCATGAACGCCACTAAGGTCGCCTCCTTGCCATATCAGCAAGTGTGTCCAACCAAACGTGTTCATCGTCTTTCGGACCCCAACCAGGGAGCCGAGATGCTCCAACCAAGGCCAGCTCAGAAGTGAGGGCCTTCATTCCTTTGGACCAAGTCATCGCTTGGCCACCCCTCCTCTTCTTCCATCCCCACCCCCGGCGCAGAAACAACGCATGTCGCGGGAGTCGGTGAGCTGACATGCGTAAAAATCGGACCAGTCATCGGAGCCTGGTGCGTGAAATGACGGTGCTGAGCGGTTCATTTTCTTTTCCTGTGCCATAAACAAGGCGTCGAACACGCTCGTTGCTCACGCGGTGTTCCCACCAGACGTGAGCTAAATTACGACGGCACCGGTGGTCGAACGTAACTAGCTTCTTCAGATCCGTTGCTTTAAGGGGCCAGGTTGCACAACCGTACAGTAGGGTCGAACGTACTTCTGCATTGTACACTCTACCCTTCAGGGAGAGTGATGTCGCGCAGGTACCATAAGTAGCGAAGGTTAGTCAAAGCACCTCGAGCTTTTGCTATACGGTTCGTGATCTCATCTTCAATCCCACGGGCGCTGATACAACTTCCCAGGTAGTTGAATTTTTGAACGACTTCTAACTGATCCCAACCAACGGTCAGCCTAGGAGGCAGTCCAGTCCAATCTTGGAGGAACGCTTTGCACTTCGAGGGTGCGAAGCAAAGCCCGAAGTGACGGACAGCTAGTGCTAATCTGTCAAGTGCCACTTGACACGTTTGTGTGCTGTCACAGATAAGGACAATATCATCAGCATACTCTAAGTCAAGAAGTCGTTCTCCTGGGAGCAGATCCACATCTTCAAAGTCGTGTCCTGTGAACGCGATTTCCATGACTTCGTCAACAGCGAAGTTGAAGAGGAAAGGTGACAGCGGGCATCCTTGTCTAACACCGCTGGAGATATTAAAGGGCGACGACAACTTGCCGTAAGCCCTCACTCTGCCCGAGCTACGCGCGTATAATGCTCGGATAATATTCACATATTTCTCAGGTACACCTTCCCTGAGTACACAGTCCCAAAGTGTATGTCTATCCACCGAATCGAGTGCATCTTTGATATCGAGGAACACAACGGTGGGCCGCCAATATATGTGACGGTGCTCCAACAACTGACGCAAGGCGAAGATGTGGTCAATGCAGCCACGACCTCGACGTAACCTGGCTTGCTCTTCACGAATCTGACTTTCACGAGTGCCAGTCAGTCTGTGAAGGATGACAGAGGCAAGCAATTCGGAGGCGATGGAGATCAGTGATCCCTCTATGGCTGCCGCATTCCGATCGTTAGCCTCCTTTGAAGATGGGAACAATAACGGAACAACAACAACAATAAATTCCGACACTGACTTTGCCTCAACTACTTGCTGCGGCAGGTCGTTCCATACATTCACCACTCTGCGTTCGAAACAGAGTTGGTGAGCAACCTGCTTCAAATCCGGTACGACAAGCTTATACCGGTGTCCTCGTGTGCTGCCTGGTGTGCACAGATGAAGCAGCGGTCTCAACATTGGGCAATCTCCAAGATGTAATATCCGGTGAGTCATTATGAGGTCAACCCTCAGTCGACGGTAAGCTAGGGTGTACAGCCCTAGTTTTTTACACCGGTCTTCGTACATCACACCTCGTAAATTGGGAATCAGCCTGGTGGCTGCACACGCTCAAGCTTTTCTACCTCGATCCGGGTGATAGGACAATACGCGGGTGAGCCATCCTCTATCATTGGTCGTATTATTGAGACGAAGATGCGAGTTGCAAACTCTTCGGACCAAGTGCTGAAGCTGCGCCTGAGCGCCCAACGCATACGAAGGCTGTTTTGGTAAATCCTATCCGTGTTGTCCATGGATTTTAGGTCGCAGCGTGAGAGTACATAGAGGTCGCGCACAAAAGGTGCGGGATGCAATGGTTGACCAGCCATCGTGTAGGTTCTGCTGTGCTCACACTTCCCCAGCCATATGAATTGCGACTTGACCGGGTTGATCGGAAGGTTGAACTCTGCAGACCAAGTGGAGAGGTGGTCGAGGTCCTGCTGAAGCAAATCACAATCATTGGGTGTGCGGATTACTCTCCACACCACCATCTGCGAACAACGCACAATGTGATTGGAGTAGGTGAGACACATCATTTATATGGATCAGAAACAAAATCGGCCCCAGTACAGTGCCTGGGGGGAACGGCGCTGCTCGATGGATACCAGTCGTTTAAATGGTTGTCCACCTGGACCCTCCACTTTCGATCAACAAGGAAATTCCTGATCCATTGGTGAGGCGAACCACCAACACCGCACATCCTCAGCCTGTCGAGGAGCAGTGCATGATTTACCTTGTCAAAAGCCTTACTGAAGTCAATGTAAATGACGTGGACTGATTTGCCTTGGTATACATCGTGGACCGCAATGGAGTTCTGAACAACTAGTGTTGGTAGGATGCCATCACAGTATGTTTTCAAAGCTAGACCAGGACCAACTGTCTACTGAAAAAAGGTGCTCTGACGTCATAATCCCATCCCAGATGCAGAAACAGAGTCAAATATGTACTAAAGCTGAGGCAGAGAGTTTTAGGTGTCAGTTGTCAGGATAACACAACTATTCCTGAGCTGCGTGCGTGTATTGAGCTACTGTACATCAGAAGCTTTATGGGCTTGAAGTACATGCCATTGAATACGCTGTTGTGCGATAGATACGGATTGCCTACTTTCAAGGAACAAGTGGCAAGAACGAATACAAGGAAATAATGAGGTTCCTTCGCTTTGATATGCAAACTACCAGAGGTGAATGACTGCAGACTAGCAAATTTGCTTGGTATCTGGATTCTGGAATGCATTTATGCGCAACTCTAAACAGTGCTATGTGCCTGCGCAGAATCTCACAGTTGACGAGCAATCGTTTCCCACCAAAACTCGTTGTCGTTTTTTCAGTACATAGTCAACAAACCTGGTAAGTTCGGTAACAAGTTTTGGAATTTGGCAAAAGTGGACAGCAAATAGCACACGAACCGATTCCCATATCTCGGAAAGCACGGATTTCGGCCACGAGGAAAGTGTTAAGGAGAGCGTGGTATTGAGCACCAACTAGACTTATACCGAACAAATGAGCGCAGTTGGAAAGTGGTGAGACAAGTAAACGTCGGCAGTGTCAGTTTGGTTACTGTACAGACAACACGTCAAAGAGCAAGTGCTCTGTAAGTGAAAAAATAGTTGTTGGCTCATGTGGACAGATTGAGAGAGGTATAACCTGTTTCGAACGTAAATCTGACTAAGCAAGTACAACACATTTCAAGTTCAAAAAAATTCAAGTTCGATGTAATTATTTTTCAGTTACGGGTATGTGCTACATATTGTTTTAATAAGTATAGTGGAAAAAGTTATAAAAGTTGGGATAAAGAAACACAGCAATGCGGTCATTTTGACCGGTCCCGGGTGTTCTAGATATAACGTTATAAGAGAAGCAAAGTGCAGCAGTCGAACAAGTCGTGAGGCCTTTCCAGAGGGCGTGATACCAAGTGCATGCCCAGGTCAAAGCAGGGACTTGTCTGATGGCGAACCATGCCAATCCGTGCAGAGGGAATCGCCAAATATGCCATTGCTAATCATATCAGAAAATCATTTCTACCCTGGGTACTGCGAATTCACCAGTCGCATACAATAATTGCGCAATGTGCCTTTGACAGATCTTTACAGCCGTTAGCCACATGGCGGCACTGCTCTTGACATTTGGAGACCTGTCAGGATAACAGCCATGACTAAAAAGAAATGCCAAAAACCGTTTGATCCCTTGTACGTCTGTGATGTTGACAGTTTTAGACTAATTGTCTCTTAGATTTCTAGAAACATATTGGATAATTATTCATCTGTTTCCCTGTAAATCCCAACGTTCCATGTGGGATGCTGTAATATACCTTGTGCGCCTAATAGCATCTGCAATAGATACGAAATGCA